TGGGAGCGAGTCTCGCCGTGCCCCCGGTAAGATGGGGCCGTGACTTATTAAAGGTAATAAAAGAGTTCTAGAGAAAGAGAGAGAGAGAAGTACCAAAGAGAAATTAAATGAGAAGTTGTAGAAGAATTAGAGAGAGAGAGTTACGGGGATAGATGAGTAGAGGATTTACTTACTGAGCATTATTTTAGTGCTCACCCAGTTTGTTTTCCTATGTTTTGCAGGATCTAGGTGAGGACACACGTCGGATGGATGTCGGCCTCGAGGAGAAGCGTTACACTGTCTATTATGTTTTTGATGCTTTTGTACACATTATAATTTTGTGTAAAAATGTATATGTTGTAAAGAATATATATAATATATATATATATATATATATATATATATATATATATATATATATATATTATATATATGTTCTATATATATGTAATAAAAAGAAAAATTTTGGGCCCAATTTCTTTATATTATTTTTTATGTATTTCATTATGAGTATTTGAGTAGAAAGTGACTATTACAGACCACCACTACCACTCAGCCACCACCACCACTACCACTTAGCCACCACCGTCGAAAAGTTGCCAGAGTCCCTAAAAAAGAACGAGATTCAGTGGGAGGCTCCGAGAGGCTTTGATATGGCCGTTTTCGGCCATCTTGATGGCTGAAAAAGGCCATATCAGGCCATATCAGGCCAGATCTGACCAGAAATGGCTAGATCGATGGAACTGGCCGTTAACAACCAAATCCATGGCCATTAACGGCCAGATCTGGCCGTTAACGGCCATATCTATTCTAGCTAGAATAGATCTGGCTGATAATGGTTAGAGATCTGGCCATTAACAGCCAGATCTGGCTTGATATGGCCATTTTTAACCATCAATATGGTCAGAAACGGTCATATCGGAGCCTCTTGGTCACGGTGAGCTACTGGCGGTGACTTTCAGAGACTTCCGACGGTGGTTTGCGTTGGCGGTAGGAGGTGGGGGTGATTTCATAATAAATTAAAGTTTTATATAAGCGGAGATGTTTTAACTAAGTTTGAAATATTGGGGGTTAAAAAAAATTATTTAAAAATTAATAATAAAAATAATATTATATTAATATTTGAAAAGGGAACAATTTAGTAATTTAAATAACATACTCACCAATTTATTCCTCATAACTAAACATATTAATATAACATACCCATCAACTAACCAAACACATTTTCCTAAAGATTTCCAGTAATCTTCAAGGTAATCTATTTTTTCAGTAATCCAATATTCTCAGTAATCTAACATTTCCCGAACCAAATGACCCCAAAAAAATTCCATCATATTTAAAACAGCCGTCAAGACTTTTCAAAAGTCTTTGCACCATATTTCACTACTAAATGTTTCAAAAGAAAATGACACTCCAGGACACTTTTCAAAGTAGTGTGTTAGACTTCCTCAATGACCATAATTATAAATTAATAAATATCTGATTCAACCATCCCAAGTCAAGGTCTTTCTCTTTGATTATTGTAAAGAGTTAGGTCCTGTTTGATTGATATGCTTGTGGAAAAAATTTCTCTGCCATTTATTGGCTAAAGATGATTTCCCTTGAAATTTATTATTCGAAAGCCGTTAATAATTAATGAACACATTTTTAAGGCAAAGTCAACAATATGGTGCTTGAAAAGCTACCCAAATAAAGCCCTATTCACGGATAGGAGCGCAATTTCTAAATATGAATAAGGAACTGGTAGTTTGTGCTAAGTGCCACCTGTACTGTTTCAACAACTAATTGAGAATTTTTGTAATCAATCACTCTCAAGTCTCAATGTAGCTAAATTCCAGAAAAATGATAAACTTTTATTAAATATGTAATTCAGTAAAAAACTTTTATTGAGAAAAAAAGATTTGTTTGGTTTTAGTTAAGCTAGTACAAACAGGACAAAGCTTAAAAACGTTAGATTCAGAAACTTAAGAAATAGTGCACTGGACTGACAAGATTTAATTGCACAAAAGATGAGACACAACCTGCATGGTCGATTTAGACCGTGGATTTGTATCTAAGCATAAAAAGGCCACTTCCATGATGGAAATTAGTTTGTTCTAAAGTTCCAGGGAGGGAAATGGAAGCTTGGGATCCAACATATCATCAAGTTCTATTTTCATGTTTGTAGATGAACATGAAGTTTAGTAAAACCCTAAGTGTCTTTGTTTTATTAATAAATTCAAAGAATTAATTAGCATGATCATAATGGTTTGAATGTGCTATCATATGACTTGTTGGAGCAGTGTTTATATATGATTCGATGTATACAGTCACAGAGGTGAATTTCTGTTGATACATAAATTGCAATACTACAAACCCAATCAACAATTATGAGGATGGTAATACCCAGATGAAGATGAGTCAAACTGGTACATGATACTTCATCAGCAATGCAATTGGGAGCTGCGATTTCAAGGACTTCTTCGTTGTGAAATCTTGCGATTTGCTCACGACTAGTCTTGTAGCTCATATGATCCTACAAGTTACTCCTGCTCCAGGTCCGGCTCCAGTACCTTTTATGAATTCTGGTGGTGGTGGTGGTGGTGATGGCATGGCAATTGTCAATATTGTTTGGATTATTATTGGTGGCTTAACGTTAGCATATTGAAATGAGGCAGATTAGTTTTTGCGGTAGGTTTTATTTATTTACGGTTTTTTTTTTTTTGTATTAAAATTGTTTTAAAGATGGATGTAAATGCTTGAATAGATGATTAAAATGTGAATTTCAATTTTTGGGACATTTGATGATGAATTAATTTGTTTCTTCTTACAACCTGGTTAGAATATATTTTTTATCATAACATAAAATATGAATGGCAGCTTCTTGTTTAGGGTTTATCGACCGGATTTTGAATGTTATTGAATACAAGCGCAGGATGATTGGTTGATGCAGTGTAAATGCTGCAACTTTAAAGAGAAATGATAGGTAACCTAAAACAAATAGACGTTCATCATTTGAGAATTAGGGATGGGCACATAACCTGGCCCGTGAGGATCCGCCCCGCCCTAAACGGGGCGGACTTTCCCCTCATTTTTTGGGATTTGGGTTGGGCTCGGGCCCAAAATTGCCCCGCAAAATTTGGGGGCGGGACGGGGTCCGGATTAGCTTTACCCCGGCCTGCCCACCCCGTCCCCGGCCCGTATATTTTATATATATATATATAGATATATATATCAATTTTAATTTTAATAATTGAAAATCAATCATATATACCTATAATAATTTTACTATTTGAAAATCAATTATACATTATACAATAACAAATTATAATTGTGTTACTTTAGTATGATGGCTTTTATATTTAATATGTATATTATAGATTTATTATTATTATTTTTTTTATGATATGGTCTTTACGTTTAATATGTATATTATATATTTAATTTTTTTTTTTTTTGTTGGTATATATAATTGGGAGAAAATAATAATAAAAGTATAAATTAAGGGGGGGGGGGGAAACCCAAACTGGGAATTCGGGGATTCCCCAAATGCCCATCCCCACTGAGAATTATTCCTATTTTGAATGGACTCCTAACTATTCAAAATTTTACTTGCCTTTTTTGAACTTGATTCTGTCTAAAAGTCAGAATCCAAATCCCATTGGGCCTTTTGTGGGCTCTATTCTGTCCTTCATTGTCCACCGGACCTTTAGTGGTCTTTTCCACAAAATGGAAACTTCTTTGTTAATAATATGAGCTTATTCATAAATTTAACAAAGCACAATAGAGTATATATGAAACGATTCTATTTAGCAATAAAGAAGCTATCTCATTATAAATTGGAAATTGTTACTTAACCTATTTTGATGTAACATTTGGGACATAGAAAGTAATTACTTTAGCCAAGTTTTATTTATATAACACATGATGATTTTGTATCGCATTAAAAAAATAACGTCAGGAAAAAGGGAGTACCATTTTTCGTATTACCGAGTAGCATATATAGTGTTTGGTTACTGGGAAAAGACAAGAAAAAACTCCTTCATTTTGTTTAAATGCATTGGGAAACCAAATAATGAAAACAATAACATGCCATTCTTTTGTAATCATAAGTAGAAATCAAGATAAATTTAACTGTAAGCCATACAATATACAGCAGAAAAACAAATCAATCATTAGTCTGACTTAATGAAAAAAGGAAAAATAAGAAATAGAAAAGAAAGAAAAAATCAACAGATTTTCTTCCAATTGTCCTAGAAGCCAAACAAAAAGAAATGCAGAGAAAAAAATATATGACTGAGGGCTATTTTGTAATTGAAGGTAAAAATTTCAAGTTCGAATTCATCAAATTTAAAATCATTTTTAACATTTCGTTTCGTTTAGATATATATAAATTTTGTGACAAGGAATTAATATAGAATTATTTTTTATTACATTTGATATTGTCTTAAATATTTTCAATATCATTTAAAGGAAATAAAATAAAATTTATTTTTTAAAAAATAAATTAGTACTATGTAATTATTAACTACATTCAAATTTTTAAATGAAATTATAATGCTGAATTTATTTTTAATTATTATATTAAAAATTGGTTTGAATAAAAAAAATAAAAAAGGGTTTGGGCCAAGTCAACTGGTCCAAGGGCTTCAATTGGTGGGCCTGGCCCTGGCCCTGGGCCGACATGACTCAAGCTTGAGACACTTCCAAATCCAGCAAAATGCAAAATTTTTGCATTCCATTTCTCTTACATCAATTTTTACACCATTTTCAAGTATAAATTTTCTGATAATAAAGTATATAAGTTTTTAAAAAGTTTCTTGAACTTATTAAAGACATCTCTTCCAATGGGTTGAACAATAATTTTTTTAGTCTCAAAATAAATTCTATTGTTCAATCAATTATGTAAATCAAGAACTTTGTGCCTTTGTGGTCCTTTCCAATGGCTAAGTAATGGAGAATTTGTGCAATTTTTACATATCACTTAAGTCTCAATGATATTAATCTCCGAATGATAGTACTTGCTACATCATGAAATTCAGGAAAAAAAAAAAAAAAAAGAAACTATATGTGACTGGCTTCATCTTGTAGAAAGTAATGTAGTGTGATGACTGTCAAGGAATTGATTTAGTTGCACAGTACTTGAGCCACAATATGCATGGTGGGTCTAGACTCTGGATTTACATCTAAGCATAAAAGGGCCACCTCCTTTATGGAAATCAGTTTGTTTTGAACTTCAAGGGAGGGAAACGGAAGCCTTGGATCCAACATATCATCAAGCTTTATGTTCATGTTGGCAGATGAGCCTGAAATTTGAGAGAGAAAATCTCTTGGATGCTTCCCTTGGATTACTTCCATTACCAACACTCCAAAGCTATAGACATCGCATTTCTCTGTTACCTTCATTGTGTAAGCAAGCTCTACAAAAAATGAAATATATATATCACAAGAAATTTTTTGTTTTGATCTATTTAACTAAGAGAAGTAATGGTGAAGAGATTATATATAAAGATACCTGGGGCAACGTATCCGTATGTGCCAGCAAGTTCAGTCCAATTGGACGAGTCTGGGTTAAGAAGCTTAGCTGCTCCAAAGTCCGACACATGAGCTTCATATTCCAAATCCAGTAGTATATTCTTGCTTGATATGTCTCGATGGACGATTGGTGGGAAACAATCGTGATGCAGGTAAGACAAGGCATGAGCTACACCTTTTATGACATTCACTCTCTTACTCCAATCTAGTTCCATTGCTTCTTTTTCATTGTTTAGGATTGCGGCCAAACTACCCCTTTCGAGATACATGTAGACCAAGAATGAGTATCGAGAATGTAAACAGAAGCCAAAAAATTTCACGATATTTCGATGCCTTATCACTGTTAATGCTTGTATTTCACTTAAGAACTCTTTTTGATCTACTATATAATCAGTAGACACAGAGTGAATTTTCTTCACTGCTACAGTGTTCCCTGATAGTTCAGCTTTATAAACACTTCCTTGACCACCTATCCCAATGCAATAATCAGAATGAAAATCATTTGTTCCTTTCAAAATTTCTTCATACATCCTTTTTCCTCCAAAAATTGAAATTGAAAAGACGTCTCCATCATTCTCAATGTTTTTTACTTCTTCCGAGTCTTCCTTCCTTCTCCAGGAACTGTTGAGAATTTGGATTACCACAACTGAAAAAACAAGCACTGCTAAAACAGGGAACAAAATTACCAGGAAGATCAACAAACCCTTGCTCACTCCATGTTTCCCTGATTCGAAAGCTTTGGAAGATTTGCAAGGTTGCAATCCGATAACATCACCACACAAATCTTTGTTCCCTTGTAATGCTTCAATGGAAGCATTTTGAAACGCTGTGGAATTTGGAATTGGACCCTCCAACTCATTGTAGGAAATGTCAATGCTAGACAGGGCAAACATATTTTGAAATCCTCCTGGAATGAGTCCAGAAAGGTTATTGTGGGATAGATTTAGCTTTTGCAAAACCTCTAAATCACATATTTGAGAAGGTATCTTTCCTTTGAGTAAATTATAACTCAAATCCACCTCTGTAAGTTGACTTAGCTTCCCCAATTGAGGTGGAATTTCTTGGGTAAACTGGTTGTTGCTCAAATTCAAGCTGTACATTTGCAACAAGTTCCCCAGGCTTTCAGGTATTGATTTGGTCAACTTGTTAGCAGATAAGTCAAGACGAGTGATGTCTGAAAGGTATCCAATTTCCAAAGGTATACCACCAGAAAGTTTGTTCCCATTCAAAATTAGCTCCTCTAGCAGACTCAACTTTTCAAGTTCTTTTGGAATCTCTCCGGCTAGAAGATTTGAAGAAAGATCAAGTCTACCGAGTTTTGTCAAGTTTCCAAGCTCAGCTGGAATGCTACCAGTAATTTTATTAGCTGCAATCTTTAGGGTGCCTAATTTTGGACACTTTGCCCAGTTAGACGAGATTTCACCATGAAACTTGTTTTGGCTGAGATCTAAGTACTCGAGGTATGGATAGATGCCAAAATCTTTTGATATATCACCAACAAAATCATTTTTTTCCAAGCGAAGTCTCTTCAGGCTTGTGCAATTTCTCAAGCCTTTGGGGATTGGACCAGAAAAATTGTTGCCATGCACAGTGAAGTTTTGAAGTGAACCACCAACACATATGTTATGGGGTAACTGACCAATGAAGTTGTTAGTGTCTAACTCCAATATAGTGAACATGAAATTTCCTATTTCCTGGGGAATGGTACCAGAAAGATGGTTTTGACGAAGGTGCAAAATCTCTAATTTGTTTAAATTTTTAAAAGAATTAGGAATAGAACCACTGAGTAGATTTTGGCTTAACTCTAAATCAACAAGATTTTTCAGAGTACCTATTTCAGGGGGAATGGAGCCAGAAAGTTGATTATTGTATAAATGAAGATAAATGAGACTTCTCAGACCACCAAGAGATGTTGGAATTGAACCTGAAAGATTGTTGCTATGAAGACTAATACTAGTGAGAGACTCCAAATTTCCTAATTCTTTGGGAATGGAACCAGAAAGTTGGTTTATGAACATGTGCAAGACTTCCAGGTTTCTAAGGTTTCCAAGACTTGAAGGGATTGGACCAGTTAAGCTATTGGTATCGATGTTAAGTTCTATCAGATTCGAGAGGTTTCCTATCTCTGGAGGAATGGAACCAGAAAGTGAATTATTAAAAAGATACAACAAAGCCAAGTTGCTCAAATTTCCCAAAGAAGCAGGAATTGAACCGTCCAAGCGGTTACTATAGATAACTAGTTCACTAAGAGAACTTAGTTGGTCTATTTCTTTTGGAATTGAACCATTCAACTGATTCTCAGCCAGGTGGAGGGTCTCAAGATGTGTAAAGAGACCGATTTCAGTTGGTATTTTCCCTGAAAACTGATTAGTTGACAAGTCGAGATACTTCAATTTGGAGAGATTACCAATTTGTGCAGGGATAACTCCAAAGAGTTCATTTATGCTAAGATCAAGATATGCAAGATGAGGAAATGATGAGAATGACAATTCATCAAGCGTACCTTTTAAACTTGCAATAGACAAGTTCAATCTACGGATGCTTCCAGCATGGTCACAAGAAACTCCAGACCAATTAGTACAATGGCTTATCTTGCTTCTGTGTTGAGTAGAATAGTTGGTAGCATTAAAAGGATAAAGAGTCCATGAAGAGATGAGAGAATGGTTGTGGTTTTGAAGGCTGGCCTTCCATTTGAGAAGAGCTTGTGCTTCTTGAGTGAAATCAAAAGCTACATTTAGTTGAAAATGTAGCACAACAAAGAGGCTGAAGAAAACAGGGGAGAGTTTATTGAGGGATGAGATTGCCATTGCTTAAACTAGCTAAGTTTGTGCACTGCAGAGCCTAATTCAGAACTCCATATTTATAAACAGAATTTGGAACTCTAAGAGCTTCGAAAATGTCAATGCACCATCTTTCACTCAAGGTTTTTGTTGCTTTTTAGAGTCAAGCCTACGTAGAAAAAGGTTTCATGCAAGTCTTTGATGTGGATATAATTAATCTTCTTTGTTCTTTATCCAGGATAAAAGACAATCTTATATTTTCACAACAGAAAATCCTGATTTCTTCACCAGGATATATACTAAAGTAAAGAAAAAAAGCAAGAATAACGTTAACTTTCTTTCACCCCTCAATTTGTATCTCAAACTTGTTTGAGACAAGGGTTTTTATATAAAATTAATTGACAGCAGATTTTGATTCCTCATTTTACCTTTATTCATCTTAATTTCACTTGTCGGCATTCCCCAGTCTTTACTCTTAGTGGGCACAATTAAGTTATAAAGAATTGACGTAAATAAAAGCTACAAAATAACTATCAAGTCACCAATTTAGTTCTTTGTCTTGTACTATATTCATTTTCAAAATGCATGTTTGACTACTGTACTGAGATTGATATGTTCCTCCCCGTAAATGATTAGTGAAGTAAAGCTGGAAGACACCAGTGTAGCTGGTAATGTTAGCAGGGGAAGATAAATAAGTTAACCCTTGGATTGTAATTTCTGAGTTAACTTACAATATCAGAGTAATATTACTGATATGAATCATTGGATTATCATCTCTAGACATATTTTTTTAACGGTATCCCAGGGATTGGATAGTTTTCTGATAAGAGTTTTCCTTAGCTTTTTTAGAATTTTTTTTCTTCTATTTATCTTTTTTACTAATAAGAATTTTAGAAATCACAATCATATAGTTTTAAACTTGTTTCACCTTTTATTCATCTTGACTACACTTCTCAAGACTTAAGTGTATAGTCTTTGTGAGTACAATTTGTGTCAGTGACCTAATTACCCAAGCTAAACGGATGCTTGCATTATCAGCAATTAGGCAACACCACAAATGTTGCCTTCAAGACTTGAAGCATCAAAATCATTACCAAGTCGATTGAGGTCTCTGTCTTGCACTGAATGCCTCCACTTTCAAAATGCATGTTTGAATTTTGTAAGTTGATTGTTATGTTCCTTTCTGCAAATGGCTCTACCCTTAGCTAGTATTGTTAACGGGTTGAATACTCTCGAATCATATGGTCTAAAAATATCCTAATCAACATTTGAATCATCAGCAAAGGGTAGATCCATCTATAATACTAAAATAACATTACTTAATACTCTAAAAATATTTCTTTTAGCATAATTGATCCCAATAATTTTATAATGGTAAATATAATTTCCTTTCTCCTTATGTTATATATGGCCTAAATTTTCCCATGAATTTACTGGTCGAAAGCAAAACTTCTGCCTTTAGAAACTCAGAAATAATAAGTTTTTTTTTCTTTTTTTTTCTAAAATAAAAATTTTCTTTATTTCTAGTCATATACTATAAAGTGAAATATTTGTAATTATGTGAAGACTGCCGTAGATTTGGGTTTGCCTGATCTATCATTTTCAATTGACTCAGTATATCAACTTTTCTTTAAGGTCCCCACCAGATATGGAGGAATAATTCATTGCACTACTTCCAAATTCCGATTACCAATTTAATTTTCTTTACAAGATTTAACATCTACGCATAATCCATTCCGTTTGAAAAGTAAAAGAATTCCCACTCACAAAGAAAGTTTATCTACCAGTCAAAAGAAGCTTATATTTTTTAGATTGTTTTATTATATTTTGTAAGTGTTTATTGAATTCAAAATAAGCTATTTTCGGAAACATAATCTTTTTTTGAGCTTATTTAGAGTCTTAAAATTTTAAAAATATCTTTATTATATTTTATAAATTTGCCTTGACTTATTCTTATTTAGTAAAGCCTTTTTTAGTAAATTAATACTCAAAAACTCTTTTGCATATTTCTAAATTCTAACCAAACAACTAACAAGGCTATATTTTCATAAGTTACAATCCCAATAGTACCAAACGGACCCTTAATTAGCATGGTCAGCTTATATTGTCAGCACAATTGAGCCACGGGTCACGCTGTCAGCTGCCATGTGAAATCCTTGCTGTGATCTGCACCAACAGAAGGTGAAGTTGATTATTTTTTGCCATGTTTAGAGTGCCTAATTGTCGAAAATTTCCACATATGGCTCAGCTCAGCTCTAAATGGCTCAGGTTTGGATAGAAACCAAGAAATTCAGATATATTCGTCCTAGGAGGACTTTAACCAGGCTCCTACAAGTTCTCAAGCTTCAGGGACCAGGCCTAAGAAATGGTTGTCTCTTGCATTGAAGTGCCGGAGTGAACCAGCGCTGCAAATATTACAAGGCAAATAACAAATGATTTGCTTTAAATCCAATATCTTCAATCGCATGAAATTTCTAATTTCTTGAGGAATGTAACCCGAAATCTTGTTGTTGCCAAGGAATAAGGACTCCAAGTTGCTTAGATTTTAAAAGGAATTGGAAATAGGATCACTTAGTTGATTCATAGTTAACTCGAGATAAAAAAGAGGTTTCAAGTTTCCCATTCCGTTGGAATAGAGCCAGAAAGTTGGTATATTGTTACAAAAATACTACCAATTATGAGGCTAAACCATGGCAAATTTAAAAAATAAATAATCTACTTAAACCTTAACACCATTAAAAAATATGATCAAAACTAGGCCCTGGGTAAAGACCACATTCACCAGCATCACTGACTAGAACTGAATGAGGCAATTGCATCCATTTCCTGCTGTAAAAGAAGAGCATCTATGAAGATATCTATATTTTCTCCCTGCATCACATCATTTATAGCATGATGAGTGATGCTAACACAACAATCCATGACACGCCCTTGAGGGAACTTGTAAGTACGGATAAGCTCCGATCTATCACCACTACCAATCTGTTTACAGTGACAAGATCTCTTCATTGTTCTGGAAAATAAGAAACAAAAAGCAATAGTAAACTTGCTCATCTTCATCTCACAGTCCCTTTTACCTGTCAGATCAAAGTTTTGATCGACTCATCTGAATTCATAACCTTTCCATTTCATACAGCTTCGCACAGAGCAACTTTAGTGCTTTAGCTTTGTTCTGTTATAAAGATCACAAAGGCAAAAGAACAACCATAAGGGAAGAAAAACCAAAACAGATGACGCAAAAGTACCCAGCCCACTGATTACTATATGTTGCTTACTTGATACTTTTTTTCAATGACCCCTTTTTTTTTTTTTTTTCGTATTTTCATTAAGTTGGCACATACAATAAAACTTCAACAAGTCATCTTTCTATAGTCCATAACAGGACAATGAAAATTGAAGGACATGACACTCGAACATAAGCCTTACTATAACATGTTATGAAGGAATGGTGATCAATAGCCTGATCCAGCTGGCATATTTTAATTGATTATTCATGAATGTTGGTAAAAAATCTTTACCATATGTTGAGATCGTTCATCTTGGATGGATACAGTCATCCCAGTTGGAATATGAGTTATTCGGACAGCACTATTGGTGGTATTTGCATGCTGACCACCTGAATCACCAGATCTGTAAGTATCAATCCTCAAATCTTCATTCCTCAAACTGGACATCTACCTGCGAAGCCTCAAAATAAAAAAGATCAATGAGATTGAGCATCAGAAAACGTTATAATACTTCCAATACTACAATGGTGACAGTCGTAAAGAAAAATGACCATGCAATTGTGGCATCATAAAAATATTATCATTCAATCAACTTCAATTCGTTTTGCACCTCATCAGCCTGAGGAAGGATAGTAACAGAGACAGCACTGGCATGAACTCGTCCAGACTTCTCCCTCACAGGAACACGCCGCAAGATGACAACTGTTTGTAATTTCTGCTCTGAATCATACATTGTAAGCCAAATAGGTAGTACTGTGTTGAGAACCTAGATCCTCAACGCAAACAACCCACTCACTGTAACTCAACACTCAAGCAACAATGTTCAAATCAAGCAGAAAACGAAGAATGAATTTGACTGTGAAAATGATATTGTATTGATTGGATGATTGAAATGGAAATTACAATATAGAATGATGTAAAAACACCAGATCCGAAAATAAAAGATAGTATAGCTCTTCGAGGGGCTAGTCCTCCCAATTTTCTACTCAAAAGTTTAACATGCTTTTACAATTGAAATCCCACAATTTATATTCCTCAACGTCACACCCAAAGCATGATTCCTGCCACGTGGATAACTAACTCCTTTTTGTGCGCACCCGCTGATTTGCCTTCGTGTCCCTTTTGTAAACGTGAGTAATGGGTGGGGTCATATCATACTGAAACCTGAACCCCATGAATTCCACTCTCAAATTTAAGCTTCACATAGACACCAGCTCCTGAGATTGCCGCACTAGCTTCCTGGTTAGTAGAAGGACAAGCCAAAGATTTATAAAACAGTTACGAGGTAATTCCATATTTTGTAAAACGAAAACGGTATATTGGAAAATATTATAGATTGTAACCCATACCTAACAACTGAACAATACCCATCTAATAAAAAGGGACACATGAAAATTCACAGGATGGAAGACATACCTTGTATCCTCTCAGATCAGACTCTGTTAAATCTATAACATCAAACTTCCAACCTTTCTTCTGTGAGTATCTCTCATACCTGTGTAATTCAAACAAGGATAAAATTCTTCAAAAGGTCCTTGATATGCAAGAATTATGACTAAAGATGCTAACCAGGACAGGTTGTAGAAACTTACATCTTAAATATGTCCACTGCAGACAAAGAGGCATCTTCCCCGCCTGCTCCTGATTAAAACTTTGTCAAAAACAATAAAGAAGGGGAAAACATAAAGAGAGGGAGAGAGAGAAATGCCTGAAAAACGGGGGGCACAGATTGACACCAAAATGCAATTGATCACTCAAACGGTATCAATTCCCAAAACTCTTAAACACAATACCCCAACATGGTCACTGTAACAACTTAATCCATAAAAATAAGAAATTACGGGATAGAAAGGGGAAAAAAGCTAGGGTTTATTGGTTTAAGAACCCTTATTTTACTTAAGAAGTTAATAGAATAAGTAATTGAAAGTCACCGGTTGAGTAAAAACGAAGAGTGGAGAGTGAAGTGGTAGCGATTGCTGATCTTTGATTCAGATGAGTCGTATTTGAAATAGATTGTAACTCCTTTAATGCCAAAAACATATTCTTCCAAATGAATCCTGCATTCACTTTTCGACGGCAAATTTTCAAACCAAACCAGACAACCTTTAATCAGTTGTTACTACACTAATTTTTTCGGTTGTTGAATAGTACTGTATATCTATTTTATTAATAGATTTTTGTTTTTACTTTTTTTTAAAGGTTGTTAATAATGTAAATTGGCCCCTCCACTTCCGGGATTCAATTTAGCACCAGTGATGCTGAACAGTTATGAGTATCTTGTATTTTTTAAAACAATCAAAACCGAAATTATATAGTATAGGTTCCCAAATGAAGGAATCAAAATCGGAACCTGTCGCTTATAGTTCTTAAATTCAAGGAACATTTCTTATCGAGTATCCTGTAAAAAATCAATTACCCTCTATTAGTTTAAAAAATGATAAAATTATCTTAAAAGTTTACAAATATACCCCTAACAAATTAAGAAAACCTATATTTAATAGTTTTCAAGTTTTGATTACTTATTCATTTGTGTCCAGTGTGACTCATAAATCCTTTAATCTCGAGGTAATACTTGAATTCAATCAATTCATCACAATTCACAGAAAATTTCTTAATCAAAACCAAAACACAAACAGGTTTCAAGCAAGTTCCAAGCCGGGTACTCGCTTTAGGTTATTTTCCTGGGTTCCAATTCCAGTTTCGAAACCTGTAGGAACCGGAATCGGAACCATACAGTGTCGTTCTAATAAAATAGAACAGAAACCTACCTGCATAGTGTCAATTCCAGGTATGTTCCAGTTCCAGTTCCGGTTCAACCCGCTACCCGTACTCAACCTTAAATTATGCAACCAGACTTCAAGGGTTTTGGAACTGTTGAAGATTGAATCTTTTTGGTAGAACGAGAATGGCAACAAGAATGTCGACAAGAATCTCGGCTAGAGGACTCTAAAGATGTCTAGAAGAAAGCATGCACGGCGGAAGATGAATGTCACAATGCCAAGAGGAAATCTGCTTTAGAATATTTCTAGATAACAGAATGCCGCGACATGAAAAGATTGTAGTTATTTTCAATCATGAACTTGAATTTCATTTAATTGTTGTTTGAACAGTTAAGTTAGTTATGTAATCTAATCCCTTTATTTATCTATTTATAAATAAGGGATTGAAGAATGTATGAATTTGAAGAGAGAAAAGAGAGATTGTTCCTCTTCCTCATTGAAGAGAATGTAATTGAGATTGTTGAATGTAATTTTCTCTTCCTTTTTAGCATAAGTTCATCTTTTCAATATTAGAAGCCTGCTAGAGATTGATTTAATTGCTCCCAATTCCAACAATACGTATCAGGGTGATTTTTATTCTTTCAAGACTCCTCCAATTTCTGACAGCAACAATGGATGTCGGAGAGTGATATATAAAATTAAATTCATCTCTAATGAATCTATATATTTTCTAAAAGTATTAAGTAGTTCTTTAGGGTTCTATCACTATGCGAACATATTTTAAAGCAATTCTTGAATCAGCAAAATAAAATATTTAGAAGCACTAAACATATATGCCTCATTGTTTTTAGATTAATAGATTGCATATTGAAAAATAAAAATAAAGACGAATGCAATCAATTCATTAAATGAATGAATTTACTATTGGGAAAAAAAAATGAGAACGAAATTAATTGAAAACAATCCAAACCCCGATCCTTGTGGTCTCAATCAAACTATTATCATGGGTTGTATTTGAACAGATGAGTCCATCGTGAGGAATTCCAACATCATCCAAAAATTGGTCGCTCTTCAATAATTCCAAAACAGTGTATACTTGGCCTGATCCTTTTGTTTGGCACTAGACCACTTGACCCTCTTACCTCTTACCTCTTTAGGAACCAGGGCCGTGATTCCCATACTCATATTATATACAGGTGTCTTGCGCAGAATTTTCCTTGAAGCTAATAAATCCTTCTGGACCAAAGAAATCGCCCATGGTATTTTCCAGGAAAATAATTGTGGCATAGTAATTTCCACGGCTTGCCTAAGTATACTTGGGCCTTTAGCCTGTAAGGGAAGAGCTTCTCATCAGGGATAATGGTACAATTGTGGATAACCACTATAGTGGTTTGTTGTCTTATGCTTCTGACTAGAGCTGTCACCGCATGTTTTTCAACGTTATTATTGGACTTCCTAACGATGAGAATGGAACTTTGAATAATGACGGTGGCATCTCTGAAAATGTGACCAATAGTGCCAGAAATTATACAATTATGGTAAAATTGTCAATAAGCATGGGCGTACAAAAAAGTTTGTTAACCATCGATCATGCAGTTAAAGATAGCTAAATAGTCAGATGCAACACAAAGAGCCACAGCCTGGTGTCCATCAGAGCCGGTTGTGTTCACGAATCCCACACTCTTGGCAATGAACCCAGTTCCTAGCGCCGTTACAAGGGTCTTATAGGTTTAGAAACTTACTGAATGTGGTAGTCTTCTAGGTTTTGAAGCCTTGGCCGTTGCTCTTACTACCCGAAACAATGGTCTTGCTATTTCCATCACCATACATGAACAAATTCTGTTGTTTTTCAGACAAAGTAATGCTTTCATTGTAGATTTCATCGGCCTCATAAGTACTTTGGGTAGGCATCAATAGCTTCCTGAATGCTACTATAATCTCCACTGCCATCCTTAGCCACTACACCGTGTGGTGTATCATCGTCCTTAGCCACAGATTTCAAAAGCTTACGGTCTGAAGCCGAGAACCAGGAGGGATATTCATCAATGTCAACTTCAAGAAGGCGGCGACTATATCATTTGGTTTCATTTTACATTTCAAAAACTGACAAAAACCTTTTAACTAATCTGTTTTAAGATAAGTTTTCAAGAAGTATGACCCCACTAAATTTCTTAAGAGACCCACGTTAATACTAATTCTTTTAGATGTACAATATATATTATCCTCTATCAAAATTACATCAAAAGGCTAATATAATTTTAAAGTATCCATTTTTTTCTTTAAAAATTATTTTGCAACCACAAACTAATGGTTTTTCTTAATCATCATTGCTTATGAAAGAATTTTTTTAGAGTGCCTAATTGTTGAAAATTTCCACATATGGGATCTCACCATAAAATTTGTTACAGATCAGCTCTAAATCCCTCCGGCTTGGAAGTTCGTTTCGTCCTAGGAGGAGTTTAATCAGGCTTTTGCAATTCCCCAATCTTTCAAGGATCGGGCCTAAGAAATGGTTGCCACTTGCATAGAAGTGCTGGAGTGAACCACCACTGCAAATATTACAAGGCAAATAACAAATGATTTGATTGAGAAAAAGGGTAGCAGCCAAAGGTGAGATGAAGAATACTTCCACAACAATCTGAAAGACAATACCGCTTGGAATCAAACACCCATACATCAAAATAATGGAGAAATCTCACAAAGATATACTATCCATGCACTATTTACTGTAACAAACCTGCTTCAAATTCAATCTTTGTTGTCCAAAATGAAGAGGCTTGAGTCAAGAACATACTAGTAATATTGCAGCTGAATTAGACCGTGGGAGGTTGTTCATCCAAGGCTTGGTCGAATCGACTGCTAACCCCCTTTTTTCCCCTTTTCTTCTTCTCACCTTCAGCTGATCTCCTCTTCACCTCTGTCTTTTCTTATTTTGTTGATACAAAACCTAACTCTAAAATAATCATCTACAAAAAATGGACTTTCTCAATTTTGCTTGGGCCACCCTTCAAAAACTTGAGCTCAGCACTACTTTGATGGATATGCTTCAGTATGAATTTTCTCAGCCATTTATTCTCTGGAGGTGACATTCTTTGAAAGTAATTATTTGTTCTTTGAATTCATTAATAATTCAAAATCAACAATATTGTGCCTGAAATTTTCAGGACTTAATTCAAACTCTTATACAATCTATTGCCAAGTCAAGTTTATGTGATTGTCGTCGGACGCAGCTAGTGGGTTAGTATTTTTATAATATTAAATTATTTAACCACTTTAAAATGTTTTTAAATAAATAATTAATTAGCTTTAGATTCTTTGAGAATCCACTTTCAGATTATGAAAAGTTACCCAGCCCAAATTAATACTGCCTTAGTCATTGATAAGAACCCAAATTTTAAATAAGAATCAGCAACTTGTAGTGCAAGCTACATTGTTTCAATAGCTAATGGAGAATTTATGTAACCAATCGCTCTCAAGTCCCCATGTTGCTAAACTTAAAAAAAAAAAAAAAAAAAAAAAAAAAAAAAGGAAACTAGATTTATAATCTAGTGTGATTACTTCAAACAATTGATTCAAAAACTAGACCAACCTTACAAACAATTGATTCAAAAACTTATGAAATAGTCTACTGGAAATTTATAATCTAGTGTGATTACTTCAAAAAGAATAAGATTTAGTTGCAAAAAAGATGAGACACAATCTGCATGGTTGGTCTAGACTGTGGGCTTACATCTAAGCATAAAAAGGTCATATCTAAGATGGAAATCAGTTTGCTCTGAACTTCCAAGGAGGGAAATGGAAGCCTTGGATCCAACATATCATCAAGCTCTATGTTCATGTTTGTAGATGAACTTGAAAATAGGGTGAGCACATCTCTAGGATGCTTCCCTAGGATGACTTCCAATGCCAACACCCGAAAGCTATACACATCACATTTCTCGGTCACCTTCATTGTGTAAGCAAGCTCCGCAAAGTGAAAGAAATATGCTATCTTTATCATTGATTATCCAATAATGGTATTGTAAAATGAGAGTGTGGGAATTATATACCTGGTGCAACATATCCATATGTGCTGGCAAGTTGAGTCCAATTAGATGAATTTGGCTTGAGAAGCTTAGCAGTTCCAAAATCTGAGACATGAGCTTCATATTCCATATCTAGCAACACGTTCTTGCTTGATATGTCGCGATGGACGATTGGTGGGAAGCAATCATGATGCATGTAAGATAAAGCATGTGCAACACCTTTTATGATATTCACTCTCTTACTCCAATCTAGTTCTAGTGCTCTTGCTTCGTTGCTCAAAATTGCGGCCAAGTTACCCCTTTCGAGATACTCATAAACTAAGAATGAGTGTCGAGAATGGGAACAAAAACCAAAAAATTTCACAATATTTCGATGTCTTATCTCTGTTAATACTCTTATCTCACTCAAGAACTCTTTTTGATCAGCTATATTACCAGTATATAGCGAATGGATTTTCTTAATTGCTACAATATCCCCTGGTGATAACTCAGCTTTGTAAACACTTCCATGACCTCCCTTCCCAATTAAGTGACTGGCATCAAAATCCTTAGTCATTGCTATGATTTTTTCATACATCTTTCTTCCTTCAAAAGTTGATATCGAGAGAAATTCTTCATTGTTCATCCCACTTTCTTTATCTTCTGAGTGTCTCTTTGTTCTTCTGGAACTAAAGAGTATACGGATCACTGCAAGCGAAAGAACAAGAGCCCCTAGAAGAGGGGAAAAAACTTTAAAAAAGATTATCCAACCCTTATGCAACCCATGTTTTGCCATAGGTAATAAAGTTCTGCAAGGATGTTGCAGCCCTCTAACATCACCACACAAATCTTTGTTCCCTTGTAATTCTTCCATGATAGCATTTTTAAATGCTGTGGAGTTTGGAATTGGACCCTCCAACTCATTGTAAGATATATCAATGCTTGATAGGGTAACCATATTTTCAAATTCTCTCGGAATGAACCCAGAAAGACTATTGTGGGAGAGATTTAACTCCTGCAACATCTCCAAATCACATATTTGAGGAGGTATCTTTCCGCTGATGAAGTTATGACTCAAATCCACCTTTGTAAGTTGACTTAGCTTCCCCAACTGAGGTGGAATTTCTTGGGTAAATTGCTTGTTGCTCAAATTCAAGTTGTTCATTTGCAACAAGTTCCCTAGACTTTCAGGGATTGATTTTCTCAACTTGTTTGCGGATAAGTTAAGACGGGTAATTCTGGTGAGGAATCCAATTTCTGAAGGTATACCACTAGAAAGTTGGTTCCTATTCAAAATCAGCTCCTCTAGCAAACTTAAGTTTCCAAGTTCTTTTGGAATCTCCCCAACTAGATAATTTGAAGAAAGATTAAGTCTACCTAGTTAAGTTAGGTTTCCAAGCTCAACTGGTATGCTGCCAGTTATATAGTTCTCTGCGATCTTTAGGGTGCCTAAATTTGGACACTCTCCCCAGCTAGATGAGACTTGACCATTAAACTTATTTTGGCTGAGACCTAAATATTCTAGGTGTGGATAGACGCCAAAATCTTCAGATATGTTACCAACAAATTTGTTTTGTTCCAAGCGGAGTCTCTTCAGGCTCATGCAATTTCTCAAGCCTTTGGGAATTGGACCGAAAAAATTGTTGCAATTCACAGTGAATCTTTGAAGTGAACCACCAACACATATATTATGGGGTAACTGACCTGTGAAGTTGTTGGTATCTAATTCCAATTTTGTGAACATGAAATTTCCTATTTCCTGGGGAATGGTACCAGAAAGATGGTTTTCACGAAGGTACAAAATCTCTAATTTGTTCAAATTTTTAAAAGAATCAGGAATAGAACCACTGAGTAGATTTTTGCTTAAATCTAAATCAACAAGATTTTTCAGAGTTCCTATTTCAGGAGGAATGGAGCCAGAAAGATTATTATTGTATAACTGAACACGAATGAGACTTCTCATACCACCAAGAGATGCTGGAATTGAACCTGAAAGATTGTTGCTATGAAGACTGATATAAGTGAGAGACTCCAAATTTCCTAATTCCTTGGGAATGGAACTAGAAAGTTGGTTTATGAACATGTGCAAGACTTCCAGCTTTCTAAGGTTTCCAAGACTTGAAGGGATTGGACCAGTTAAGCTATTGTTATCGATGTAAAGTTCAAATAGATTTGAGAGGTTTCCCATTTCTGGAGGAATGGAACCAGAAAATGAATTATTAGAAAGATACAACCAAGCCAAGTTGCTCAAATTTCCCAAAGAAACAGGAATTGAACCGTTCAAGCGGTTACTGTATAGAGCCAGTTCACTAAGAGAAATTAGTTGGCCTATTTCTTTTGGAATTAAACCATTCAACTGATTCTCAGCCAAGTGGAGGGTCTCAAGATGTGTAAAGAGACCGATTTCAATTGGTATTTTCCCAGAAAACTGATTAGTTGACAAGTCAAGATACTTCAGTTTGAAGAGATTACCAATTTGTGCAGGGATAACTCCAAAGAGTTCATTTATGCTAAGATCAAGATATGCAAGATGAGGAAATGATGAGAATGACAATTCATCAAGCATACCTTTTAAACGTGCACTGGACAGGTTCAATCTATGGATGCTTCCAGCATGGTCACAAGAAACTTCAGACCAATTAGTACAATGGCTTATCTTGCTTCTGTGTTGAGTAGAATTGTTGGTGGCATTAATAGGATAAAGAGTCCATGAAGAGATGAGAGAATGGCTGTGGTTTTGAAGGTTGGCCTTCCATTTGAGAAGAGCTTGTGCTTCTTGAGTGGAATCAAAAGCAACATTTAGTTGAAAATGTAGCACAACAAAGAGGCTGAAGAAAACAGGGGAGAGTTTATTGAGGGATGAGATTGCCATTGCTTAAACTAGCTAAGTTTGTACACTGAGAGCCTAATTCAGAACCCCATATTTATAAATAGAATTTGGAACTCTAAGAGCTTCGAAAATGTCAATGCACCATCTTTCACTCAAGGTTTTTGTTGCTTTTTAGAGTCAAGCCTACGTAGAAAAAGGTTTCATGCAAGTCTTTGATGTGGATATAATTAATCTTCTTTGTTCTTTATCCAGGATAAAAGACTTATATTTTCACAACAGAAAATCCTAATTTCTTCACCAGCATATATACTAAAGTAAAGAAAAAAAAGCAAGAATAACGTTAACTTTCTGTCACCCCTCAATTTGTATCTCAAACCTGTTTGAGACAAGGGTTTTTATATAAAATTCATTGACAGCAGATTTTGATTCCTCATTTCACCTTTATTCATCTCAATTTCACTTGTCAGCGTTTCCGAGTCTTTACTCTTAGTGGGCACAATTAAGTTATAAAGATTTGACGTAAATAAAAGCTACAAAATCACTATCAAGTCATCAATTCAGTTCTTTGTCTTGTACTACATTCATTTTCAAAATGCATGTTTGACTATTGTACTAAGATTGATATGTTCCTCCCCGTAAATGATTAGTGAAGTAATGTTGGAAAACACCAGTGTAGCTGGTAATGTTAGTAGGGGAAGATAAATAAGTTAACCCTAGGACTGTAATTTATGAGTTAACTTACAGTATCGGAGTAATATTACTGATATGAACAATTGGATTATCATCTCTAGACATATTTTTTTAACGGTATCCCAGGGATTGGATGGTTTTCTGATAAGAGTTTTTCTTAGCTTTTTTAGAATTTTTTTCTTCTATTTATCTTTTTTACTAATCAGAATTTCAGAAATCACCATTGTTATGCAACGGAAACATAAACTCTAACGCTAGCTTATTGAATATAATAATACAAGTAGTAAAGCATAAATAAATTGCCAAAATTAAATGCAAAAATAAAGAATACCAGGAATTAACGAGGTTCGGTATTAAAACCTACGTCCTCGGGCGCTGCAAAAGAAAGCTCCACTATCTCCAAACAATATTACAAATATTTGGGCAATACAACAAATACCCAAAACAAAGGGGAGATACAACAAAACTTGCAAACTAAAGGGTCCTTAAAGAAAGAACCCTAAACAAAAGAAGTATAATGGAATTACAACTTGGGATACAATTAACATTGATTTAGGTCCTTATATATAGGCCCCAAAAGTTTCCCACTTTTCAATCCTAATCAATATGGGACAAACAACCTTTTCTTGGCCTATTACATATAAGTCCCTAAACCTTTCTCCATTATCATATCTACCCCATGTGATTTTGCTAAAAGACATTTTTCAACAACCATCATATAGTTTTAAACTTGTTTCACCTTTTATTCATCTTGACTACACTTCTCAGTACTTAAGCGTATAGTCTTTGTGAGTACAATTTGTGTCATTGACCTAATTACCCAAACTAAACGGATGCTTGCATTATCAGCAATTAGGCAACACCACAAATGTTGTCTTCAAGACTTGAAGCATCAAAATCACTACCAAGTCAATTAAGGTCTCTGTCTTTCACCGAATGCCTGCATTTTCAAAATGCATGTTTGAATCATGTTAACGTGTTTCAAAATGCATTATCAGCAATCAGGCAACACCACAAATCGTTAACGTGTTAAATACCCTTGAATCATATGGTCTAAAAGAACATAATCAACCTTTGAATCATGAGCTAATGGTAGATACACTTGTAATATCAGAATAACGTTACTCAATACTTTTGAGGATATTTCTTTTAGTAGTATAATTGATCCTAATAATTTCATAACGGTAAATATCATTTCCTTTCTCCTTATGTTATATATGACCTCAATTTTCCCCTGAATTTACTGGTCGAAAGCAAAACTTTTGCCTTTAGAAACTCAATAATAATAAGTTATTTTACTCTAGAAATGAATTTGGTCCATTGCAAAAATTAACAATATAGCGTTTGAGATATGGTTAATTAGGGAGCCTCTTATATCATATTTGTTTAATTTTATATTTCAAAAAACCACAAAAACCTTTTAACTTATCTGTTTTACAATAAGTTTGTAAGAAATAAATCAATAATAATTTAAAGAGCAATGCTATTTGACCCCACTAAATTTCTTAAGAGACCCATGTTAATAATTCTTTTAGATTACACTATTATCCTCAATCAAAATTACATTAAAAGGCAAATATAATTTTAAAGTATCTGTACACCATTTTTTTTCTTTAAAAATTATTTTGCAACTATTTTTTTTTTTCAATCATAATTTTTTTTTTTTTTAACGGTTTTACTTGATCATCATGGGTTATGAAAGAATTTCAAATAGGTATTTATAATCATCGCTTTGTACACTGCTATTGAATATATAATTTTAATTATAAATTTCTTTTCTAATTAAATTGGGGAAATTTTAATAAATAATTTAAAACTTTTTGTGGGGTTTAATTAGAAGTGGGGTATTGTTAGATAAAAAATGGGGTTTAAATAGCATCACTCTGATTAAAAATGGGGTTTAATATATATTAAGAAAAGTTTATATGATTTTTAAACATTTTAAAGGAACTTTTTTTTTTTTTTTTTTTGGGTTAAATAATGATTTTCTTTATTTCTAGCCATATACTATTAAATGAAATATTTGTAGTTCTGTGAAGACTGTCGTAGATTTGGGTTTGCCTGATCTATCATTTTCAATTGACTCAGTATTAATAGAAGCTTTATTAATTAATTTTCATTGGTTGGATGGGTATCAACTTTTCTTTAAGGTCCCCACTGGATATGGAGGAATAATTCAAACTGTACTACTTCCAAATTCCAATTACTAATTAAATTTTCTTGACGCATAATCTATTCCGTTTGAAAAAGTAAAAGAGTCCCCACTCACAAAGAACGTTTATCTACCCGTCAAAGCTTAAAAGTGTTTATTGAATTCAAAATAAATTCAAAATAAAGCTATTTTGAATTCAATAAACTTTTAAGTATCTTTATTATATTTTATAAATTTGACTTGACTTGTTCTTCTTTATTAAAGCTCTTTTTGTAAATTAATGCTCAAAAGCTCTTTTCCATTTTTCTAACCAAACAAGGCTTATATTTTCGTAAGTTCAATTCCGATAAACTCTATTTGAATAAGTTTTACCAAACAGACCCTTAATTAGCATGGTCAGCTTATACTGTCAGGACAATTGAGCCACAGCTTCATGTTGTAAGCTGTCATGTGGAATCCTTGCTGTGATCTGCACCAGCTGGTGGTGAAGTTGATTATTTTTTGCAATGTTTAGAGTGCCTAATTGTTGAAAATTTCCACATATGGGATCTCACCATAAAATTTGTTATAGATCAGCTCGAAATCCCTCAGGTTTGGATAGAAACCAAGAAATTCAGATATATTTCCAACAAGTTGGTTTCGTCCTAGGAGGAGTTTAACCAGGCTTCTGCAATTTCTCGAGCTTTCAGGGACCTGGCCTAACAAATGGTTGGCACTTGCATAGACCTGAACCACCGCTGCAAATAATAAATCCAATATCTTCAATCTCATGAAATTTCCAATTTCTTGAGGAATGTAACCTCAAATCTTGTTGTTGCCAAGGAATAAGGACTCCAAGTTGCTTAGATTTTAAAAGGAAGAGAGAATATGACCACTTAGTAAATTCATAGTTAACTCAAGATCAAAAAGAGATTTCAAGTTTCCTATTTCCGTTGGAATAGAGCCAGAAAGTTGGTATATTGTTACAAAAATACTACCAATTATGAGGCTAAACCATGGCAAATTTTAAAAATAAATAATCTACGTAAACCTTAACACCATTCAAAAATATGATCAAAATTAGGCCCTGGGTAAAGACCTTCTTCACCAGCATCACTGACTAGAACTGAATGAGGCAATTGCTGTAAAAGAAGAGCATCTATGAAGATATCTATATTTTCTCCCTGCATCACATCATTTATAGCATGATGAGTGATGCTAACTCAACGATCCATGACACGCCCTTGAGGGAAGTTGTAAGTACAGATAAGCTCCGATCTATCACCACTACCAATCTGTTTACAGTGATAAGATCTCTTCATTGTTCTGGAAAATAAGAAACAAAAAGCAATAGTAAACTTGCTCATCTTCATCTCACAGTCACTTTCACCTGCTCGGATCAAAGTTTTGATTGACTCATCTGAATTCTTAACCTTTCCATTTCATACAGCTTCGCACAGAGCAACTTTAGTGCTTTAGCTTTGTTCTGTTATAAAGATCAAAAAGGCAAAAGAACAACCATAAGGGAAGAAAAACCAAAACAGATGACGCAAAAGTACCCAGCCTACTGATTACTATATGTTGCTTACTAAATACTGAGGGATGATACTGTAACGCAGCTATACTACAGATTTGATATTAATAAATTGCACACGATTAGAGCGTAATAGTTCAAGATCCATTGCCTGTAAAGTTACATTGTGGATAATTTAGATAAATATTGAAATACATAGTTGTAATGATAAAAACTTGTTCAATAACCCCTTTTTTTCGTATTTTCATTAAGTTAACACATACAATAAAACTTTAACAAGTATATGTTCCATAGCAGGACAATGAAAATTGAAGGAAACATGACACTCGAACATAGGTCTTACTATGACATTCTATGAAGGAATGGTGATCAATAACCTGATCTAGCTGGCATTTTTTAATTGATTATTCAGGAATGTTGGTAAAAAATCTTTACCATGTGTTGAGATCGTTCATCTTGGATGGACACAGTCATCCCAGTTGGAATATGAGTTATTCAGACAGCACTATTGGTGGTATTTGCATGCTGACCACCTGAACCACCAGATCCATGAGTATCAATCCTCAAATCTTCATTCCTCAACTGGACATCTACCTGCAAAGCCTCAAAACAAAAAAGATCAATGAGATTGAGCATCAGAAAACATTATAATACTTCCAATACTACAATGGTGACAGTTGCAAAGAA